TGACGTTAACAACGATACGAAAAGCGGTCTAAATAGATGTCTAAATTCGGTTGTTTGCAATTATTGCTTTATCTTAAAAGTTTTGTTAAGGTTTACCTTTAACGCCAGACGACTGTTTTTTTTAAAGTTATAAAGATTAAATTGAATTCAAACTCTTTAATTTCTTACCCTTTCACTGCTGCGCTCAAGCATTTTTGTTCAGTAATGTCACAATTATTTTTATTTGGAAATATGCCATGAAAATGTTTTTTTACTTAGAATCTTTAATAGGGTTTTTAAACTGCCCAACGAGAATAGGTCATAGGTATCTTTCATCACTTTCTAGAAGATTGAAATACACAAATTGCAGCAGGATTTTCCATGGATCTTGCTAATTAACTGTCTAAAGGTGGGGAAGTTAACTAATATGCCAGGCTGTTTCTACCATTCTTTGCTTACTGTTTTTTTCAGTTTTTATCTCCGGTGAGTTATATTATGATCAAAAGGCAACAAGAATCTTTTTGATGCTTTTGGTAGTATAATTTTGAGTTTTGGGAAGCGGTATTCAAAAGAAAGAATAGTGTCTAGAAGTCTTCAGTCTTTCACCTTTCTGCTACTATAATTTTTTACTCATCTTTCTTATAAGCTCGTGAAGCGGTAAGAGCGTGTGGCTAAGCGACATGAAAAATATGTGTTGAAGACGAGGAAAGGGGGTGAGGGTGAGGACGGAGGGAAAGAAGGAAGAAAGGGCTGAAGAGAACTTTCAGAGTGAATGCTGAAAGAAAGACACATCTCAGTTAAACGCTTGTTTAGCACAATGTCATGTTTAGTTTTTCGGATATATCAATAGATATATGTAAGGAGATTTGAAGACGAGTGGTGTCCAAGTTTTTACATCTCAAATTGCTATAACGCGTCGGCTCAAAATTTTTGCTTGCTTCTTAGTTCAATCAATGTTTCTCTATAGCTGATAAGAACGTTTTGAGCAATAAATCTTTAAACATTAAGCTAAATTTTTTTTTTTTCGAATTACCTCTTATCTGATTTTCGTTTTTGTTCTTCTGTTGTTGGTGGTAGTGCTGAACTATCCTATGT